GGCTGAATCTGGATGCCAGTTCCGACTTACATACAGATTCAACTTAAGAACAAATCTACAGTTCCTATCTTGTACGTAATCCGGGGACTGCCTGTACTTCAGAATCAAGAAGTATATTCTACTTCATATATTCTGTAAATCCATGATACAAAATTATGCAAGGCAAAACTTAAAAATTTTTACTGCTATTTAATTGTCTCTTAATGAATGTGAAGGAACAGGGATTGCAAGCATTGCTAGCTAAGTTTCAGCACAGCCTAGTGAGGTGAAAGATAGTGTTGTTCATACTAAATCCATTTTCTTCAGCTCCCTCCTACTCCTCGTCCCTTCCTCCCGCGCGCCCCCTAAGATGCCAAGTTTTGCTTCTAAGAAAATATACTTAATCTTGCATTACACTGCAGTCATCTGAGCAGAATAATTTTCCCCCATTTACTGCATACCAGGATTGAATCTCTTCCACAGAAGCAGAAAAGCCAGTGACCAGTTCTGGTTTAGCAATACCTGGTTTAGCTTTCACTGCATCATTACTTCACACATCTCTCAGTTTTATTTTTATTTTTTGCTTCTAAGAAAATATACTTAATCTTGCATTACACTGCAGTCATCTGAGCAGAATAATTTTCCCCCATTTACTGCATACCAGGATTGAATCTCTTCCACAGAAGCAGAAAAGCCAGTGACCAGTTCTGGTTTAGCAATACCTGGTTTAGCTTTCACTGCATCATTACTTCACACATCTCTCAGTTTTATTTTTATTCACCCTCACACCTCCCAAAACTTTCATTGCTTTTAGGGGAAAAATGTTTTGAAAACTAGTCTGTAAATTTAGGCATACATATTTAGGCATACATATCTGAATGTAAATGTACCAGTATAGAATCATAGAACATTAGAATTGGAAGAGAACTTGAGAGGTCATCGAGTCTAGTCTCCTGCCCTCACGGCAGGACCCAGTACCGACTAGACCAGCTGTGCTTAACCCATGGCTCATGAGCTGCATGCGGCTCTTCCCCCCCCCCCCAAAGTGTGGCTCGCAAAGCCTCCCCCATGGCCCATGAAGCTGCCCCTGTGCCGCTAGAAACGGCCCCCAGTTCCCTGTGCTATGTGCACAACTATTTTGGCTCTTTGCCTGTAATGGGGTTAGCCACCTCTGGACTAGACCATCCCTGATAGATGTCTATCTAACCTGCTCTTAAATATCTTCAGAGATGGAGATTCCACAACCTCCCTAGGAAACTTTTTCCTGTGTCTACCCTGATAGTTAAGAAATGTTTCTTAATGTCCAACCTAAACTTCCCTTGCTGCAGTTTAAGCCCATTGCTTCTTGTCCTATCATCAGAGGCCAAGGAGAAGAATTTTTCTCCCTCCTCCTTATGACACCCTTTTAGATAATTGAAAACCGTTATCGTGTCCTCTCTGTCTTCTCCTTTCCAAACTAACTATGTCATGAGAGGAGATAAAGAAACAAAACAGTCCTGGGATGAAAGCCTAAGTTTTCCTCAGGTCTCCACATTAATTTTCTGGTCATATTATGCAAATCACTTCACCTTTGTGCATCTCAGTTTTCCCAACTGAAAATGAGGATGTTCCATGACTTAGAGTTGCTGAGAAAAAATAATAGCAGTGTTTCAAGATCCAAACGTAATAGCCGCACTACAGGCAGACAAACTCTTGGTTTGTTTGTTTTTTATTACAGTTGAGTTTTTGCACTAGTACAAAAATGGTGAGTGCAGCCTGGAATGTTAGGCTGGGGATGCAAGAAAAAATTGTGGTGTGCTCCTGATAAGACTTATGCACGTGTTTAACTTACTGTGACTAGTGTCTTTGACTTTAGTGGAAGTACTCACAGTTGTATATGTTAATCTCCTGGGTTAGTCCTCATAGCTTTGTATCATAATGAGAGAAGCACCCAAGCACTTCATGCCAAATTTTGCCTTTGTGTGCGTGCAGCAACCACTGGGTTAAAATGTCAAATTTTTACTTACAACTACTAGATCTAACCCCCCCTTCCCCCCCAAATAATGTCTCTCTTCTCCCCACCTGAAATGAAAGTAGAAAGACTGACATAGTAGGTGAAAGATGCTTGATGGCTTGCACAACATTGAGCTCCCTGATATATTATCTCAATTATCATGCAGGTGTGTCCACAGAATAAACACACATTAATTACAAACTAAATGAAAATTTTAAAGCAGCTTCAAATTAATTTTGGAACGCATTACCCCAATGAAACCAGTGGTAGAAGGTAAGGGAGAGAATAACGTTTCTTCAGTATTCAGAATTGAGGGCGAAAGTATAACTTTCCTCTGCTGTTTTTATAGAAAATGTTTGTGTTAAAATTATAAAATTCTTTTCTCCTTCCCAATTTATTAACAGAACTATGGCGATGGGACACACTATGATCACATGGCAAGCAGGGACCTTGGGTCACATGACAATCTCTCGCCTCCTTTTGTCAATTCCAGAATACAAAGTAAGAAGAAATCAAATTTCTTAATATCATTTTGTTTTTCAAATGGCTTAAAAGTAGAAGTGAGTGAGTGCACCATACAGTAAGTCCCCGGGTTACGTCAATCCGACGTAAGTCAGACCCCTAGTTATGAACGGGGGAGAGGGGGACGCAGCTAGTGCGGGGTACCTCCCCCACAGTTGCCACCTCCGGCGGTGCGGGGGTTGCTTCCCCCCAGCAGAGCAGGGAGATGTGGAGCTAGCGTGCCCCCTCCCCAGCAGACCAGGGAGACGCGGAGCGTTTCACTGACTCAACCAACCAGATCCTTTAAACTATTTATAATGCATTTATATCAAATATCAACAGAAATCCATCACAGGTTTCTTCTATTGGGTAAAACTTGTGTTTTTCAGCAACGAGAGACTGAAAAATGTAACTGCTGGGAGAGAAAGATGAAAGGTTCTCTCAATTTGCATAGACATGGATTCTTTGTTGTCTGTTTCTGATTTTGAATCTATTTTGTTTTTCAAGTTTACCTTATTAGGATACCGAAGCACTTCACAAAAGATGCCTATAAAATGTAGACACCTTTGGGACAACAATTGAACAAACCACAGCACAAGCATTACATTTTAGGGAAATACATTTTGGCCATAGACAACAGGCCAAAATTGCAATACAACCCCTTAGATCAGGGGTCCCCAAACTTTTCATGGTACCACCTCCCTTTACCCTGTCCATGCCCCATCCTCCAGGAGTTGGGGCAAGGGACCATGTGGATATGGACAAGGGGGACAAGGCTGGGGCTGTACGTGGGAGTGGGTCTGGGGGGCAGGGCCATGAACAGAGTCACAGTTATCAGCAAGGCTTCCATTTTTCTCCCATGTATTTTGGGTTTGTTGTAGTTGTTCTTTGGAAGGGAACGCTGAATGTTGCCTCTTGAGCAACATCACATTTTGAAAGATGTACACCAGTACTGTTCACTGATTAGTCTCTACTTTCTTCATGTAAGGGGTACATGCCATTTAAAACAGTGACTACAGTTTTTACAGAGAGTGGTAAATGTACTTTTCCTGAAGCTTGTGTGTTTTCTTTAAAGGTGTGACCACTTGGCAGAGAATTAAATGGAACTTTTCAGCAACATTTTTTTGTACTTTAAAATATTACAAATAAATGTTCTTTAAAGGGATAGATAAATAACTAGAGATTGAGATCATAAGCCATTGTTTTCTCTGGATTGGGATGGATCATTGCCTGTTGGGACTTGCGGTCTCTTTGGACTGCAAACTTCTGGATTAAAGATGACGCTGCCTGCAGTGTGCTCCACTTGGGACAAACCAGAGTCCAGCCCATGGCATCTGACAAGTCAGCCCTCACAGTTAAGGAAAGCTTGGCTGTCCCTGCATTCGTTTTAACTAAGCTTGCAAGGATTTAGTATAGCAGCTATAAGCTATAATTATTTGCATGTGAATGATAACTGCTTTCTTTAAATCATGGCTGATGAATGAGTTTGGTTAAAGTAAATGTAAGATGTAAAAATATTAGTAATCCTCGTACTTAGCCAAAATCACACCCTTTTATTGTAGTTATCAATGAACTTGCTGAAATGCCATGATTTCAACAATTGAATGTAAGCCAAAGAAAACATAGAGCTTGTAACTGTGAAATATCGTTTTGAGAATGTAATGTGCCCCTCTAAAGTATGCCTTGTCTTTTAATATTAAGAAATATTTGTGAGTTGTTTAGCATTCGGGATAATGTTGAAGCTTGTATGTATTCCCCCACACAACATGGTTAGAACAATTTCAAGGGTTTGACTTGAGCCAGCAAAAGCAGAGAAATTTAGACACTCCCTTCTTAACTCATACCATTGGCTTTAAGTAGTGCAAATATTTTACAAATAATCAGACACTCCTGTGAACCCACTGTGCTGAGTGATGCTTTCATGTTTAACCATTTAATACAGATGTCTGCAACTGAAAGGTCTGTCTTACTCTCCCTCTGCTCCTGCCTTTCCCAACAAATAAATAGCATTAGTCTGTACAGTAATTGTTTTCCCCTCCATTTGGGGAAAATGCTGCTTTCAAAATGTATTCATTACAATAAAATACAGTTACATATAGTTTTTTGAAGAATAAAACAACAAATTGATTAGGTTTTTCTTAAACACATTTTCCTTAAATGTGATTTTTCTGCTGGTGCCTGATTGGAAAGCCAATGGGAGTTTCACAGCTGCAGCTAAGAGAATAATCAGTCCTGAGTTTTTCCGAATATACAAACAGTGTGAAATTCAAGATATCTTGCTGCAGCACTTGGTCTGTAATGGTCATCATGCTGAAAGGTCCTGGAAGTGGAATATTCCTGCGGTGTCCTTAAGTATTGGTGTGTGCTGCAAAAATAAAATCATTTGAAAATAAGAATACTGATATTCCTACATGTGCAGATTGGTGTGTGCATGTGAGAGAGAACGAGAGAGAGAGAGGCTAACAGCTTCTGACAAGTGTGTTATTGTGTAATAATGCACGCCTACTGTTGAAGCCAATCAGCTTGCTCCCTCACTCTAAAGCATTTTGTAACCCTAATTTAAAATCGTTCTCTGGTAATTAGAGCAGATTCCCTTTAATTTGTGCCTGTTTAGGCAGCAAATGGCATGGAAACCACACTATTTTATTTCCCCACTTCCATTACTCTCCTAAAGCCTACATTTTGCCCACCCTGCTCAGGTGCATGAGGCACAGAGATAGGGATGATGACGCAAGGGAATCCCCATGTCTCTTGCGCTGCCTGTGCAGAGGACAGACAATCTCTTTAGGGAGTGGAGGCTGTATAGAACCTTCTGAAGTGGCTTCCCAAATATGGAAGAGGGGATTAGTGGGTTGTAGCACTGAGACTAGGGATGTTATATATCAGTTGATTGAATAGTCGAGTAACCTCATGAAATTTTATCAGTTAGTTGACCATTCTATAGTCCCTGGCGGCAGGGCTGGCAGGCCCTGGATGGCAGCCACTGTACCAGAGGCAGCAGTGCAGGGTGTCAGACTGGAGCTGGTCTGTGAGGGGAGCCAGTTTAAAAATCAGCTACCCTTGCAGACTGGCTGCCTGTTGCGCCACACTGCTGCTTTTGAGAGAGTTTCAGCAGCGCAAGGTGGCAGCAGTTCCTGTTTCGGGGGGAGGGAGGTCTGAGTTCCCCTACCAAAGTGTGAGCCACAACTGAGCCGGACTGCCTGCCTGCCTGGCTTCTAATACACTTTAAATGCAGAGCCACAGCAGGGGTATGTCCCAGACCTGTCGCAAGCCAGGACTGAGCCAGGCTATGGGCCAGCCTGCTAAAAAATTTACTGGCAGGAAGAGTGGGAGAGGAAAATGTGTGTAGTCTGTAGCATTAACCTATACACTTTTGCTTATCGGTTAATCTACTATACTATTATATCCCTAACTGAGACCCCACTTTCTGGTGCACTGGCCAGCAGAACACGTATGAAGGTAGATGAGAGCTGTTGCAATGTACACACCAGGGCAGGATGCCAGAGCCAGACAAAATTCCTCCGGGGAATTCTGCTGCAGTCCCGGAGCACTCCAGCTTTGGTAGCAGTACAGGCAGTCCCCGAGTTACGCGGATCCGACTTATGTCGGATCCGCAGTTATGAACGGGGCCCTCTCCCTGGTCTCCAGCAGACCAGGGAGAGGAAGCAAAGCGGTGGAGCACGCGGGCAGCAGACAGCCCAGATGCGTCTGGGTTGTCCGCGTGTTCCGCGGCTTTGCTCCCCGTCTCCCTGGTCTGCAGGAGACCAACAGACTAGGGAGACGGGGAGCAAAGCGGAGCAAAGCCTCCGAGCATGTTGCAAG